ATAAGAGCAGAAGCTGGGGGAATGCAGAGCAGAGTCAGCAAGAAGCCCAGGCCCAAGACTTGGAGTCAGACACAGGAGGGCGGGGGGCCAGGAGAGAAAAGAGGGACTATGGGGGTGGTTCTGGACACAACAGCCTAGTTTATGGTTTCCACGGTCACCCAGTAGATGCATGGGGGCCCGCCCCCTTAGACAATATAGGGCCAGCAGCACCTGTGTGGACCCACTCCTCTTCGCAGCACCCGGGGCGGGGGCAGGACACACAAGCTACCACACAGGCTTCCAGTGTCTCAGCGCGCACTCACACCCATCCTGCACCCCGTGCTAAGAGGCTCCTCCTCTTGATTAGCTCATTTAGAAATACCACCCAGGTGCTATGAAGCCCAAGAGGGTCAGAAAGGCATTTCCCCGTTTGTAGAAGGAAACCTTTAGTTTTCATGGGAATTCTAGAGTCAGGAGGCAGGGAGGACCACATTGGAATCTAAATATCAGTCCAAAACCCAGTGTCACGTAACAGCCCACCCGAGGGGCAAGTGAAACATCAAAAAAAAGTTGGAGGGAGGCCTCCCTGCAGGGCCAGAAGGGCTCAGCCACATAAAACCCCAGCTCCAACTTAACACTGAGAGGGAAAGATGCTCAGAAGCAGGGGAAGTGGTACTGGGCCCAGTCAGAAGGCTTGGCAAGGTGTAAGAGGATACAAGCCTAGGCCTAAGAAGGCAGAGCCTGAGGAAAGGACTGGAGAACAAAAATGTATGTGGGGGTTGGGGGTAGGGTGAAGTCAGTGGTCATGAATCCCCTCAGTCACTCCTGCACCAGAAGGTTCTTCCTGAAATGCTAGCCGACCCCCCCCCACCTCCATTTGTCATTCGCCTCTTCAGCGGAACAGTATAGCACAAAGCAGAACTGCATGACTTAGCTCAGGAGAAGTCTTGGCAAATGATAGCTGATGCCTTGTTCTGTTGTTTGTGTTGCTGGAAATAGACTACTTTTTGCCTCAATGGGTGAAGCAGTCTTCTTGTGTGATTTTTCTTGCTTCTACAAGTGTCCTCTCTGCAATTTGACCTTTAACGAGCAAGGAGATTAACCTAATGGAGAGATTAGTCACCTCAGCTACCTTGCCAATTTCTGCCTATCTCATCTGTATCTTCATGAGCAGATCTCATCATCTCCTAGGTTTGGGGAAAATGCCTCTAAAGACTCTAAAAACCCTTTGTACCAGGTTGTCCTTCAAAACTGCCATCGGAAAGGATACCTTGCAACCTTCAGACAATTTATCCTTTTAACTCAACGCTGGATACTTGAAAGTGTCCACCTTATGGGCCGCAGACTCTCACTGGACAGAGTTTACTCTCTTAATGAGAAGACAGGATCTGGTCCAGAAAACTGAAGCACCAAGGTTTTAAGTCCAACAAAATGCCTTCAAAGCAAGCCAGTAGCAAACACTCAGATATTACCTTAAGGATCCTAACAACTTCAAATCTGTTTTGTTTTTAAATCCTCAATTCCATCTCTCGGCCCTACAATTCCTCCACTCCTTTTCTCTTCAAGATGAGATTGAGTCATCAGAGCCCTCTGAACATTTTTCTGGTGTCTGGAAATAGGATCACTTGCAGAGACCAAAAAATTTATTTTCTCTAGCTAACCTCATAAAAATGCAGACTTTACATGCCTGTCATAGATTTTTTTCCATCCATCTCTAAGTTCATGCCTACAAAGTGACCACTGGTTTTTCTGAGGGACTGAAGCTAGATTTGGAAGGCGAGTCATACATTGTTTGCTACATTGTTACATCAAGTGGTCATACTCAGAACTGTGCGAAGAAATAAAAATTACAGGGGAGAGGAGCATCTCCATACCAAGATCTCATTCCAACTTCCTGCTTTAGCCCTGCTGCACTGTCAGAAAAGGCCTGTGTTGGCTGCCAGCCATGACCTTCAAAGCAGTGCCCAACGGCCTTCACTTTGTGAGGTCTGTTCGGTTGTGGACCATAAAGGCTCCACTCCTGTCCCAATCAGGGCCAGAGTCCCAAAGTTAACACGGGAGAATTCCAATGGCATGTCACTTCCAATTCATCAACATGCAGTCCCGGATTCTAAACATTCCTATACTTAATAAAAGCAGGAATGAACGAGAAAAGATTGTAGGGTGAAAAAAACATTTGAGAAATTTAGTTGATAACATTTTAAGCCCATAGGCCCAAACTGATCCTGGATCCTTCCAGTCCAATCTCGTGGTGGGGAAAGGGGTCTTTGGGGAAATGGCATATAGTGCCAGGGGTAAGGGAACAGTGATTGTCCAATGCCTGTCATAGTTCAACCATTGCTTATATGGCAAGGAGGGGAAGTCATCTGGAAAAGAAACAAGGACTCAACCAGCTGATGTGAAAAAGGTTTTCTCCCCTCTCGTCATGTTTTCTTTTGTCATTTCGACTGAAGATTGTTCCAGGTTTGGGTTTTTCATCCCAAAGAAATCTCCTCTAATATTGCCATTTGGAAAGGCAAAGAATATGTCACAATGGGGGTTGGTACTTCATACACACGATGCATACATTCCATTTTCGATACATAACCAAAGGATAATGTTAAGTGCTATTATAATAAAGCTATTCAAGATCTTGCCAATAATGGGAAATGGGACTAGAAAGAGCGTTTAATACACAGGAAAAACTTTGCCTTCTTGGGTACTGATGTTAATTTATACAGTCAAACCCTCCTATCCGACGTAATTAGGGCTGAAGTAATGAATGGGGAGAATTAAAGCACAAAATCCTTTTGAATAAACACCTTAAGACTTTATTTTAATGTGCAGTTATAGGACCTGATCATCTTGGTTTTGCCTGTGATGAGACACTGGGCATACAGCATAATAAGGACACACACCTTCACACTCACTTTCAAGCTAGGACCTTTCTTTGAATAAGGGTCTACTAACTAGAATTTTCTGTGGACCTTCTTTCATGAACCCCTCCACTGATGTGGTCCCGGGATTTCCAGTCTCAATTTCTGTGAAGTCAAGCAAGAACAGACTACTTGTGAAGACTACAGCCCTTCTAGATTTTTTGCAATATTCCAACTTTTATAGTTGTTGCAACCCACGTGTGTTGACAAATGCTTTAGTAGTAACCACTTTTGAATCTTGTCCAAAATAGTCAATGAATTTTCAAAGCAGTGACTTTTTATACTCTTAATCAGTTTATAGGATATTCACCTACCACTTCATTCAATTACGTCATTCCAATAGCAAGTGCAACTGGCATTAAGGAGGTTTGGGAACAAACACTCCGATCTTGTCAGCACCCAGTTCAACCCCTCCAGCAGGAAGGAATGCATGTCCTGGGAGAGCGCAGGACGGGCTGCTGGGGCTCAGTGCGCTATGGTTGTGTGTTTTACATGGTACATATATTACAGGAGACGACAGAATACCTAAGTTAATGCAGCAAGTCCGTAACATAGAAGCCGGTTTAAAAAAGTCCTGTACTTGAAATATTTAAGTACAAAAAGTGAATTTACATAAAAGGAATTAGTTCACTAGGATTCTGATCTACCCTATTTTAGTGTTAACATGCTTTCCACCACCTTACTATCTTGGTAAATACCAATTCATCTTCATGTCCCAAATCTCTACAGGTTATCAGCTATACTTCAACCAATAGTTAACTTCAACAGTATTCAGCACATAACATACTGGAATTTGTTCTAGATCTGGCTGTGGGAGAAGGTGGGGTTACCCAAAGTCATAGGTCACAGGCCTTTTCTTCAGGTGGACATGATTTATATATATATGAAGTAACAGGGAAAAGTGTAAAGCAGGTAATTAAAAGCAAATGATTAAATATATAGTGTATATTTTTATAGTACATGGTTCATGGTCACTCAGTGCCACAGGCAGCTGAGAAGTGAACAGTCAGTGCTGAAGTTTCTACCGATCTATGTTTCCAACAAGATTAGGAGCCCTCCCACCCTGAGAGGAGTCTGCTATACGATTCCTTGTTGGCCAGAGATGGTCCCTGGAGATCTTCCGGCCTCACACATTTAATACTAGATGACCTAAAATTACACGGATTCCCCCCACGTCCAGCCACTTCCTCACCCCATCCCTGGGTCTCCAAAACAGAGAAGCAGGGAGAAAGGGAAGGGACCAGAAACAATCCTTCCCACTCCACTCAGTCCCCACACTCCAGGTGTAGACTGGGCCTCAACACAATGATTTATGCTCTCTTAACGAGAGGCCTGAATTAAGACCACAACTTATAATACAAGCAAAAGGACGCAGATATGGAAAACTTCTATGTATAAAATGAATTTTAATTTTCTTCTTTTTATGACACTAGATACTTGCCTCAACTTAACCCAACGCCAGGAGGAAACCAGGCCATGGTTTTAGATACACCTCACATAAAAATGGTCTACTTAACATCAATAACTGCTTTCATTGCCATTCAACCCCACACGTGTAGGTGCGGAAACCAAGAGGTACAGGAAATAGCTGCAGGAATGGCCCCAGTGGGGTCCCTGTGTGACACTCTCAAACCATTCTGAACCACAAATATATCCCCTCGACACCATATTGCTTTGTTTCTTTGTATGCCCCATGTTACGCTGACCTGACAGGTCTGTTTTTTATCACCTGACCACAGCCTGGAGCCGCAACCCCCACGTCCCCATAGGGAGCTTCAAGAGCCACCAGAAGGCACGTGACGATCACTTCAACTGGCTGGAGGTTCACACAGACACTGCCCCACAAAGAACCTCATCAACAATCTGTCTTTACCTCCAGCTCTATTCACTCGCCGAACAGCAAAGGAAATCAGAACAAAACAGGGCTTCAAAAGCTATTGCCGGAAATTGCTTCACTAAACTAACAATCTGGGGTAGGGGCTTACCCAAGTAGATAGCATAACCCTAAGTATCCCAAGTATTTTGTTGCTTAGAGGACGTTTCTTATCACACGTTTAATCACTTGAGGGAAGATGGGAAGTATCCCCTTCCGCACATGTCACTCACCGATGCAGGCGTGGACCCTCACAGACAGCTGTGTCCTCAGGATGATGCTGTGCTTCTTGCCCCGCCTAATGGAGACAGAAAACAAAATGGACACAGGGATCAGCGTGGTCACCAAGAGGACACCTACATGCTGTCAATCAACTTGAAGCTTCTGGCACACCCACCTCAGAGAGACTCTAGATAAGCAGGGACCGAAACAGAACGAGAATCTACCCTGAAATAACGTGATGTCACAGGGCTTTACAAAAAATTAAACGATGAAGTTTGATTCTGTGGGATCACATACACATTTTATTACCAAACCTGGTCAACTCCTTCCATCCATATAGTGTGTATTCATGCTTGACCATGTTGGGAAAACTTTAAAATCCGTGCCCATCAAGTGAAATCCCTGGAATGTAACAACACACATCTGCTTGACCATTTTTACATTTTTTGGCTAAAGAAGAGGGCACACAGTGGGGTCATCAAAAAGCCGGTTTGCTGTGCACTAAGTCAAGATGGTTACAGCTTTTACCCTTCGCTCACAGGAAGTAGGAGTCCACCAAAGAGCTTACGGGCCATTTATTCTCAAGAATGCCAATTTATACCATGAAAACAGGATGGGGGGCGCGCCTGGGTGGCTCAAGACAGTTAAGCGTCTGCCTTCGGCTCAGGTCATGATTTCAGGGTCCCAGGATCAAACCCCACATGGGGATCCCCACTCAGCAGGGAGCCTGCTTCTCCCTCTCCCCACTCGTGCTCACACTCTCTTGCACCCTCAAACTCTTTAGAGAAAACAGGATGGACCCTCCTCCCCACTTATGCTTCTAGTGGGGCTCGTCCCACCGTGTGCAGAGGAGGACTAAAGCACCCAGCAGTTGAGAGGACAGCTGGGAGAAAACAGGTGTCCTGGCTACCTAGGGGTAACAAAGGCTTTGGGATTTGGACAAAGGGAAGAGCCAGTGAATAAAGGTAAAATGGAGACAGCCGACCAGCATAGCAGCAGATAACCTACGGGGTCTCTCAGTGGCTGAGCCCCCTCGCATCACTTTTCTGGCCACTCCTTTCCCCAGTCTGCCAGTGCTCTCTGGCTTCCGGGTTTTGGGGTGGTGCCGGAGGGAAAGGAACAAAAGCTCACCAGGACACGTGGCTGACATCATGATTACGAATTCACAGTAATCACTGCAACAGTTTTATTTATTCTTGAGACCCGGTAAGAGGGGGAATATGTGGCTTTTAAAAATGGTCTCTTCCAAAGGAGAAAGGAAAACCACTTGCAGAGGCCTACAAAATCATGCAGTGGCCTCCAGCCCAGCAGCTGCTTATAAGCAGAAAATCTGCATTCACGATCCCTTCAGATCCCCTCGAGCCCCTCTATTCTTTATCTGATTGTTTTACAATTGTTATGTGCAAGGCACTGGTCTCGAGGAACTTCTCTCAAGTATACAACACTTGACCCATCTTCCCGAGTCTGGGATGCCTATAAACACGGACTGCAAAACTTTCTTCACATACAAAAATCTTTCTCTGGACAATCCAGATGTTGACCTTCAAGTCTTCTGATCATGCTAGAAAATTCTAAGTGCATGGACCTGAACTACTGAACAGACTGTGGGGTGTCCGGGGGCGGGTAGTAGCCACAGGTGTATAGCAGAGATCAAGCTTGGAGCACTAACCTGAGAACCAATGAGTTAAGGCCAGACCCTAATGATGAGTAACAGCAAACCCTGAGTCCACAGACCCCAGGATTTTCTGTAACTCATGCTATCAGCAGTTAGGAGTCGAATAAAGCATGTGGACAAAGAAGTACATGCTTTAGATGCCCGGATATGGGGGGGGGGGGGGAGTATGGAATGACCAGGGAAAAGGTTTCTGGAAAAGTTCAAGAGCACCGATTGATAGCCCTGCTTTTATCTTCAAGCAACTACAAAAATCGAATTTTGAGGAAGTGCTTGTTTTCCCACAGAATTCTCCAGTCCCACAGCGGGGGTGTGGTGTGATGCGGTTTGGGATCCCGGGCACCTGCACCGAAGCGAGCCCCATCCTGGAGTGGCTGTCTTCTGTGCTTGCGCACTGAGGAAGCAGGCAATTGGGTTGGTAATGCTAACCCCTAAGGGAGTTAAAAGACCACAGGAGAAAGGCCTATTTTGTAGTTTTATCACTTACAATTAATTCCTCTGCTTCAACATTCGCCCTCCTTCCCCATCTGCCCCTGTACATGAAATCCTACAATGGAAGAAACCTGTGTGGCAACGGGGGCCATGGGCTATGGAAACCAACGGAGAAATCAGCCTCAGATCCCAGGAGTTGCAAGCAAAGGAGAGGACTGGTCAGCTGAGGGGAGTGGTGGTAAGTGGCAGCCAAGTCCACAGAAGGGGTCCTCCATCTCCCATCCCTGGTTCCTCCCACCTTCAACGTGGGTACCATTGCTGTGCCCATTTTGCAGATGAACACAATGCTAGTAGAAAGGAGATAAACTGCATCAAGTCACACAGCTGGTAGAAATAGACCCAGGCTGAAAGCAGAGTGACTCCATGGTCACCTGCACTATCCTGCCCATTGCTGGACACCTGCTTAACCTTCTCCAGGGCTTACAAAGGATAGAGAGTCCGGGCATTCTTAGGGAACTGGGGTAACCTCAATACTAAAACCTAACAAAAATGACATACACTGGGGCGCCTGGGTGGCTCAGATGGCTAAGCCTCTGCCTTCAGCTCAGGTCCTGATCCCAGGGTCCTGGGACTGAGCCCCACATCGGGCTCCCTGCTCAGCGGGAAGCCTGCTTCTCCCTCTCCCATTCCCCTTGTGTTCCCTCTCTCGCTGTCTCCGTCAAATAAAATCTTAAAAAAAAAATACATTAGAAATTAAGGTGCCAATTAAGACAATATTGGCTAACCAAGTAAGATTTATTCTAATAATTCAAAAAGAATTGAAGTTCCAGGTTTTATTTAAATATATATCAAGGAGCACCTGGGTAGCTAAGTCGGTTAAGTGTCCAACTCTTGATTTCAGCTCAGGTTGTGATCATGAGATCAAGCCTTGCATAGGGCTCTGCGCTCAGCGGGGAGTCTGCTATCTCCTCCCCCCCTGCTCATGCTCTCAAAGTCTTTAAAAAAATAAAAGCTTTAAAAAAAATTTTTTTAACAAATAAAGCGACTACTCAGGATGCAGAGATGGAATCCTCATTTTGAGGATGCTACAGCAGCTTTACCAGTCCCAAGGACTGCCTACATTTGAACTCCAACAAGAAACTTATTTTGGTTGAAGGTATACCCTACCCACTACATGCCTTCTTGCCTTGATGTGATGCTGGAAGATGAGCAGCCGTATTTGAACTGTGATGAAGCATGAAAGATGGAAGCCACATCCTAAGGATGGCAAAGTAGAAAGAGGAAATAAGCCCAGGCCCCTAAGAGCATCTTGTCATCAACATACCATCCTTCAAATGGCCCTAATTATCTAATTAGACTTCATTTTTAAGAGAAGTTTTAGGGGCACCTGGGTGGCTCAGGTCATGATCTCAGGGTCGTGGATTCGAGCCCCGAACTCAGACTCCGCACACAGCGGGGGAATCTGCTTGAAGATTCTCTGCCTCTGCCTCTCCCCCAGCTCGTGTGCTGGCATGCTCACTCTCTGTCTCCAAATCTTTTTAAATAAAGAGAAGTTTTCCTCCAAGGAATCACCCCAGCCTCTTTGGTCTTTGATGCTCGTCACCTGGGTCCCAGACCAACATTCCTCACCTGGCCACCTCACACCTTGAGTATGGTTCAAGGTAACCTAATTTGTATAATTGCTCTCTCCCCCTCCCCAAACTGGTCCCACTCCAGAACCTCACTACTTTTCTAAAGTTGCTGTCTGTATACTAGCCAATTAATGTCAGGTGCTCATTTTACCCTTGTCTTGCTGTAGTCAGCTAGTACCACAGCTCCCCCCTTCCACCGCAAGCTCCAATCCCCTCCGCCACCAGGCTCAGGTGCTAGAGATCAGGGTGGGCCACATCAGACAGCTGCCTCCCTGTTCAAAGTTCTGTACACTCACACACCCCCTCCTGGTTACTGGACTTCCAAGAGGACTCCCCCTTCGCAGGTCAGGTCTCTTCTGACTCCCACCCCCACCTTAAAGCCCAGTGCCCACCCAAGCTCACCCACTCCCGCTGGATGCCATCTTTGTCCAGTGATGCGATCCACATTTGAAGGTAGAGCTTTTCCATTCCCACTGTCCACTCAGCATGGGAGTAGATTCTCTCCTCGGATTTCCTACAGAACCATCTCCTTCCCAGGCAGCCCAAGAGGGCTTTAAAAAGCACCACTGCCTAGACCCACCCCCAAGTTCTGATTTCATTGGTCTGAAGCTGAGCAGGAAGGGAAGTTGTTCAAGTTCCTCAGGTGGGTGTAGGACCCACTCCAACACTGAAAACCTAGGCTGTAAGTTCCCAGCCAAACAGCAGACCACCTGAGGAGCTTTTCAAGAGGTGAGAATCTGGGCCTCAGCCCACCCTCCTAAAGCAGGCGCCTAGAAGCCAGTATTTCTAGGCAGCTTTCTTCCAGGTTATTCGGAGGCAGCCCAGCACTGGCCCAGGGCTGGTGTGCAAGGTTTTAGGTGAGGAGGGGTTCCACAGCCTTCCATCAGATTCTCAAAGAGTTTTTTGCATCCCAAGAGGTCAAGTTTGAAGGAATAAGTAGTTTTTCCTTCTTACTATTGGACAGAAAACCTCATCCAGTCACCTCTTTGTTCACTTCTAGACTAAGCAGCATTGAGAAGTCACCTACATTTTGAACCCAAATCTAATTAACTTACTAAACCTGAAAATCCAAGCCATACACAAACGAAAACCCTGGACAAGTTGAAAGACTCTGGTTCAGGTGTGGATGAGAAGCAGTGAGCAGCTTTTCCTTACTCTCCTAGGTGATGACCTTCAGCTCAGAGTACAGGCGTGTTGTCTGGGGCTCTTCTGGCAAGTCAGCGAAGGAGACAAAGGGTCTCCCGTCTTCTCAGTGGGCACCAGGCTCAAACTGCAGCCTACCAAGCCTGGCCACTGGCCCAGGTGAGGGAGAAAACAGGCCCTTTTCAAACAAAAGGGGCC